AGAAGATTAAGTCACTGGAGGGCGCTAGAACTTAGAAGTAGATAGTTTCCCATTTGGCCTGCGTGCCACGTTTACGTATTTACGCTTTGAGGATATTAGTTAGTTAGCCTGTGCACTTGGGTTCTCTAGCCCAGGTGTGGCATAGCACCCCGAACGCTTGTATTTATATCTTGGGATTTAATAAGATTCTACCTTTATTATAAGTTTTAAATGTCTTGAAAATCTGGGGTGTTACAATGAAGCTAGTAACTATGGCCATTAATTACAAGCATCAAACAATATTATCACGATTGCAACACAAGTATTAAACCCAAATAATAATATATTAAAGAAACTGAGAGCTCAGGCACATAAGTTCATAAACACTTTTACCCAAGAATCTCTAAAGAATTTAGCCAAGCATGACTAAATTATACATAGCAAATATAAATAAAGAATTACAAATCATCAAAAGAGTACAAGAATTAACCAGACGATTTTCCCAAATCTCCCTAGTCTTCTTCTTGCTTTCCAAGACAACTTGTGGCTCTTGATTTCTCTCCTTCTTGTCTCCAAGAATCTCTGAATTCTCTCGGTCTCGGTCTCCATCATTAGGGTTGAGGAAGGAGGCATTTTATAGTGGGTACAAAGTTGAGATGAAATAGAAATCTTGTACCAAATTGGACTCAAATTCTAATTCCTATATTTAAATAAAGAAATTGCCGTCTTTAATGATATTTAGAATTTGGAAGATTCCTTGAATTGCTAACTTTTAATATGGAGATATGAGTCTTGAAGTCCGTGCAATTGATATTAGGAAAAGAAATCTCGCGCTTGTATTGAATTTTGCCCAGCTGCGCCACTTTAGGCGTCTGTTTTTTTATCCGCGCGACTTTAGGCGTCTGTTTTTATCCCAGAAACAGACGCATATTCGACGCGTTGAGAATTTTCTCGACGCGTCGAGACTTCCTGTGTGCGAATTAATTAGCTACTGGAAAATTTCGACGTGTCGAGCCAAGAGTCCACTGGGCCCCGAACTCATCCAAAATTGCTCCAAACTCATCCTTGAACTCCCCTTGGTCATATCTTTGACCTAAAATGGTTCAAAAACACTAACAAACACCGTAAAATATTCAAAACAAATGCGAACCATAATTAAATGATAATAGCAAGGAAAACATGTAATAAATAAGCAAAATTAAAGAGCTTAATTACTGTGATGATTCAAAATAACCATAAAAACAAGCACAGATGTGATAACATCACCCCCAAAACCAGAAGTTTCTCCCCAAACAACATCCATTCTCCTGGCCTGAAATTGAAAGTGGATTCAATATAGACCAAACTTGAGAACTGCTATGAATTGAAATTGGAAAACTAATAGTTCTAGTGTTAGTATGGCAAAACAAAATCAGAAGGGACATTTAAATAAGGATCTAAACAAATATAAAAGGTCTCCAGCTAAGGAAAACTACACCTTGCCCATAGCAAAAATCGAAAAACAAATAGAAGACCACAAATAACCTTGACTACAGTGACAGAACAAACAAATAATAGCAGCAAATAAACAATTAGACTTGTAGAACATAGCAATCGGCAAAAGACATACCTGAGAGGCGGCGGCGGTGGGCGGAGCAGGCCGCACCGTCGGCAATCGGCGAAACAGAAACGCAGTCGGCGGAGGAGAACGGCAATCGGAGGCGGAGGAGAATGGCAGTCGGCGGAAGAGGAGGAGGAGAATGGCAGTCGGTGGAAGAGGAGGAGGAGAATGGCAGTGCGCGGAAGAGGAGGAGGAGAATGACAATCGGCAGTCAGAGGTTTTGCTTTCTTCAGTTGGTGGTGGAGAACGGCAGTCGAAGGTTTAGACTTGTAGAAAGGCAGTCGAGATTGACTTAATTCGGTTTAGATTTCTTTAGCGGTAAAAAAAAAGGAATTTTAATGACAAAAATGACATCGTTTTGGAAATTTAGCTACGGATAGTATCCGTCGCTACGGTATAAAATAAATCCCGCTCGTTAATTTAGCAACGGATGCTAAATTCCGTCACTAAACTATTTGTAAAAAAAAATAAATTATTGAAAACAAAAAATCTAGCGACGGAACTAAAATTCCGTCGCTACTATGTCTTAAAAAATTCGCGCACTAAAATTTTAGAAATCCCGCCATCTCTAGCGACGGATGTACACATCCGTCGCTAGACTACATTGTTAAAAAGGCCCGAAATCTAGCGACGGAACCAAATGTCCGTCGCTACTACAATTTAAATACAACCCGCTTAAAATTCTAGCGACGGATCATATAATCCGTCGCTACAATATCCACACAAACAAAATTGTTCTTGAATATGTAGCGACGGATTCATATATCCGTCGCTACTCCGTTGCAATTAAAGTAATGAAATAAATCCGCGAAAATTCCGTCACAAGTCCGTCGCAAATCCGTCTCTAATATTTGCGCTAAAATTTACCGCCAAAATTAGTGACGTATTTAACGACGGAATTAGTCCGTCACAATATCTGTCGTTAGTCTGTCGCTAGTCCGTCACTATATATCCATTTAACCAAAAATAAAAAAACTCTCTAATCCGTCGTTATTGCGTAGCTAACTTAGCTACAGAATGCGTCCGTCGCTAAATCTGTTGTTATTTCGGCATTTTTTTGTAGTGATGGACTTAGATCTTACCCTCCTAGATGCCCAAATAGGTGAAAGGTTGAATCTTGGAAGCAAATCTTGAAGTCTTGGCAAGGTCTAAACTTAGCTTGGAGGAAAAGCTACTCACCTTTCTAGAGAGAAGGTAGAGCTAATGTTTTAGAAAGTATAAGGGGTGAAATGAAGATGTCTTCTAGGTTAGGTTACAATAATAACACTTGGTGAAAGGTCAAGAATGCCCTTACTAACATTTAGAAAGTGTAAGGAACAAGGGAACACCCTTCAAAGCTCAAGCTACAACATGACTTTGAAATTGACTAGTCAAATACTAGTCCTCAAGTATTAAAAATCAGGATTTTAGGAATTAATTCCTCAATTGAAATAGGATTAATTACTCAATTAATCCATGGGTTGAACTTGGATTTTTGGGGTGTCACAGAGAACTATCCCAACTGTTAACCAGGCCGGTTGCGATCGGTCAGGTATATAAATATTATATAGGGCTGCGGTCCACTGTTTGGTTACTTATGAGCTGCGGTTCATCCTCCTGGCTGCGGTCAGTGATTTACCCCTTGGGCTGCGGTCCACATGGGCCTCGGGTACGATGACCCACGGAACTGGACGCGCCAGGCGGTGTGTAGGGCCAATAAACCCGAGGAAGGCTGTAGTCCACCGACCTGAGTAATCAGGCGGTGTGTAGGGCTACGGCTGGCTGCGATCCACCGGGTGTTGGGCCAGCGGTGTGCAGGGTCGTAGTCTCCGAGGATCTTCGCCCACCGACTGAGTCTCTCAGCGGTGTGTAGGGCTTGATCCGCTACGGTCCACCGACTCTGCCCGTCGACGGTGTGTAGGGTCGTATGTCCCCCCTTGTAAAGGGGATCACTGTCCACCGACTGGGCGCGTCAGCGGTGTGTAGGATTGTGGTCCGACGTTGAGTTCGTCAGTGGTCTTTAAAGGGGTGGTTGCGATCAACTCCCTTCATGCTGCGGTATGAGGTAGGGTGCTGCGGGGCCGTGTTAGTGCTATATGCGCTAACCCTCATGTTCGGGGCATGCGATTGGTCCCGTGGCGCCAGCTCAGTGTGATTGAGTGTCACGAATGATAATTGGATGATGATATGATTGATTTGGAAATAGACTGTGGCCTTAGTTGCGTATTCTTTATGATGATTCTACTTAACTGTTATCATTGATTGTTGTGCTTACCCCTATTTGCTGAGTCCATTCCTGGTTTTAAAACTAGAGTCTCTTAAGTATATATCTTCTTGCTTCAAAATGATTTTCATATATCTATATATATCTATCTATAATGTATTTCAACGCGTTGGAGTGGGTTACCGGCATCATTCGCTGAACAGATATATTTGGCTTTCAGGCACAGATGATTAGCTCCCAGAGCGCACTAGAGGAACTTGGAGTAGATAGATAGTTTTTCCTTTCGGCCTGCGTTCCATGATGATGTATTAAGGATATTTAGTTAGTTTAGCCTGTGCATCTGAGTTCTCCAGCATGTTTAGTACTACTCTGTTTTGGGATTTAATGAGAATTGACTTCTGTTATATAAGTTTTAAAAGTTTTAAAATTTCAGGGTGTTACAGTTGATCTCGTGTTCCTTGGAGAAGGATTTCTTCTTTCGTCATGTCTTGTGGAAGAGTCATTGATTCGCCTTGGTTCATTTCCACGTTGTGGTGATCTGTTCCTATCTTCGTCTTTGTCATCATCATCATTTCTTGACTTTTCCCCCTTTTTGGCATCATCGCACGGGGCGTTGGAGAACTTGGACAAACTTTGAACTGCAAGAAGGACATCCTTAACATACTCAAGCATGGTGAGTTGATATTCGGCCATTTGATACATGTTGTCATGCCCGAGATCTATCTTCGTACAAGCAAGATCCACTCGTTCTTTGAGACCGAACTGAGCGTGTTTGAGAGTATGTTGTTCTTTTGCAATTTTGTCATGGATGGGTCTTTGTTGACGAAGATCGGGCTCAAGATTGCTTTGAGTGATTGGGACGGAGGGTCCAGGTTGCGGACGAGACATTGTTTGCATGGTCTGCATCATGTGATCCACTTTGGCAGACAGTTCAGCTATGTTTTTGCTGTATTTTTGTCGTTGATCAAGATATTGCATGTGAATAACCTCAGCATTGGAAAGAGCATTTAGAACTTGTTGCATGATGTGCTCTGGACTGAGATAGCCCATGCCAGGTTCACGATCCGGTACTTGGGGTGATGCTTCCCGGCTTTCATCACTGTATGATGCATCCATGTTTCCATCACGAGCTGTTTCTTGGAGGGGAGGTAGTGTGGCAAGAGGTAACTCACAGATAGAGTCTTCTTTCGATGGAGATGGACGAGGAGCTGGTGGTTGTTATGGTAAATCTTCAGTGTTGCCTATGATGGGAGACTCATTGTCATAGTCTGAGTTGCCATCATCATCGTCATCACCATCATCTGAATCATCATCATGATTATGGTTATCGTCTTTTCCTTCATCATTATCATCATCATCACCATCATCTCTATGAGAGTCATCCTGCGCATCATCTGATTTGTCATCATCAGCTTCATCATCTTCTTGGTTCTCAGGATCTTCATCAGTATCCTTATCTTCTGCAGCATGTTCACCCGAATTGGAGTTCTTGTCATTATCCTCATCTTCGGGATCAATATCCCTTCCTTCCTCATCTTTTAATCCGCTGACATTGCATGCCAGATTATTCTGATGAGTTTGTTCCCGTTCGGTTTTGATTTTGGATTGGAGTAAGGCATATCGAAGTTCTTTCATCTCTTCAACGAAAGCTGGATCCAATGGTGGCTTATTGAGCTCAATGCAGATGGGTGCCTTTTCATTCCCGAGAGTGCGATGGGTCACTTTGTAGGAGTACACACGTCTGATGGTTTCAAGACGCAATGCTTCGTAGACGTCTTTAGTGCCGATCCACTCTAAGGCAAACTCTTCTTCATCCTTCATTACCTCAAATGTTTCAAGAAACGTATGTAATGGAGAGGTGCGCCATTTTTGCCATTGCATGACCCTATTGAAGTCATTCTCAATAGATTCCCGAAGCAATTGATCCTTTGATGGGGGAATTGGTGCAGCTTCTGGTACTGTTACAATTGCTTGAGAACTTCCAGGTATTGTTGTTTCGGGCAAGACTTCAGGTTCGGGTTGAGCTTCATTCGGATGGGATTCAATCGGAGGAGTCACTTCTCTCGTCTCAGCTGGTTTGCCAGGTTCTTGTGGGAGACTTAAGTGACCCGAAATCTGCTGTGCAGCTTCTTCATCTTCTACCCTCACAGGTTCTTGTGTCAGAATGAGAGCCATCTGCTCTGTTCGGGTAGGTTCTTGTGGGAGGGATGTTTCTTCAAGAGTTGAGTTTTGATCAGCGATCACTTCTCTCGTCTCTTCTGGCATGCCAGGTTCTTGTGGGAGACTTAAGTGATCGTATAGAACGAGAGCTCCTTGAGCTTCCTTTTTCGTCGTGGCAGGTTCTTGTGTCAAACTCGTGTTCAGTTGCTCTGCTTGGATGGGTTCTTGTGGCAAGGGTGATTTCTTCGTTCTTTCGGTGCTCTTCGATCTCTTCTTTCTCTTTTTCGATTTCTTTTTCTTCATTTCTTCCCCCTGAGAAGATGCAAGTTTCTTCTTTAGTGTGGATGGTAATATTGATTCAGGAGGTGGAGTTAGTTTCGCCATAATTTCGTTTGCTTTGGCAATGGTGGGCCGAGGGTGGTTTTTTGATGTTTTCACAGGGGTAGAGTGTGGAGCTTCTTCTTCTTTGGTGGAATCATCTATGATGACAGGTTCGGTTGAGGACATTTGTGGGGTATTCTGAGAGACTTCTTTCGTGACAACTTCTTGTTCGGCGAGTGGAGGTGATAGTGCTTTCGTCTCTGTGACGGGCTGAGCAGTGTCAGCAGCTTTCGGTAGAGCTTCGGGTTGAGCCATGGATTGCTCCTTTGTTTCAAGTACGGAAAAGCTCTTGTCCTTTCGTGATCGCTTGGCCTTTGGCATTTCATCATCGCTTCCTTTTGATCGTTTGGACTTTCGTGATTTCTTTAGTGAGTCCAAAGGTAAGTCAAGTTCAAGAGCTTTCTGTTTGTCATAGCCAGCAGGTTTTGACTTCATGTGGCACACCTTTTGTCCCGGCGAGACTCCTGCTTGTAAAGGGACTTTCTTCATGGAAAGAAGATGGCTGACCAGAAAGCCGAAGCCCATCTTTTTAGAAATATCTCCTGGTGAAGAATGACCACTTGACTTTTTGGTATTATCACCTGGTGAGGAACGCCCATGTATGATGGTGTGGCGAAGATGAGTGAAAATGACTTGTGACCAGTCCACCTTGTAACCCCCGAGGAAGGCATGAAGCATTTTGAACTTGTCTTTCGTGACATCATCAATTCACAAGGTCTTGTGCTCAACATATTTGTTAAAAATATCCACTGTGAATTCATAGTCCATCTTCAGCCACTTCTTCTTCAAAGGCCAGGTAATCTCGGTTAGCCCGTGCTTATTCTTGATCTTCCAGTAGAAAGCATTTTGCTCGTAATAATAATGAGCGAAGTCAGGTTGGTAAGTTTCGTCTCGGTCAGGGAAGGAGAAGGCTTTCTTCAAGTCATCAACGGTCAATACTACGGCGGTGCGATTGACTTCGGAAGTGATTTCCGATCCATCGGCGGAAACACTTGCATTCAGATAAAACTGCGCAACATCAACAGGGAACCAATACGTGTATAAGTGAGTAACAAAATTATACAAACCGCTATCCTTGAGAAGATTGATCACTTTCTCTCCAAAGGAACGGTCCAAAACGTATTCCAGAAATCCGTGAGCATCCCACACGCTTCCACCGACGATGAACGACATTCTGGATTCGATGAAGTCGATATCAGATGTCGGAAAGCTAGGGATCACCATCGTGGGAGGTTCTTCTTGTTCAGCATCAGATGAAGGTATTTTGGCTGTCTTTGCCATGACTTGAAGCAGTTAGGATGTAACGGAACAGGGTTTCAAAGATTGAGAGGTTTTGAAGTTTGGAAGATTTCTGGGAGGGTTTCAAAACTTAGAGTATTGAGGAAGCTTTGTTTTTGAAAAGTGTAATAGGAGATGATGATCTAGGTTTTATATGCGTAATTCCCATAGCGGTTATCCAATGGGCCAAGAAGATCGAACGTTTGACCCGGCCCTTTCCTTGAAGATGAGTGGGTTGGTCTTTTCTTGTTCGACCAATCAAGCAAACTGATACGGTGAGTGCATCTGATAAGTTTAGTATCAAATCAATTTTGATCATTCCGCATTAAATAGGAGAGTGAAAAGCACTCGAGTATAAAACACCTTCATTAAATGCTAGTCTCATCAACTGACATAGATGCATGGGTTAGTGGACCGAGTTTTGTGGCCACACGATTCCAATCATCAATGTAATCGAACGGTTAGAGCATGAATTCCCAATCGCAAGTAACCTCCAAGACGTGTAGCCTAGTTTTAAATTCATGGGATAATCAGTTTTCTTAATTCTTGGGTCAGATAGAGTTTTAAGAAACCGAGATTGGTACATTAAAATAGAGATCACACATGATACAGAGAGATGAGTTATTACATGGATGAACACGAATGAAACACACATCTCTCGGTTTACACGAGATAAAATTTTCTTTTCTCGATGTATCATTTTCAGACTCTTTTTACCCTCTTTCTCAGCTGTTCCTCAAGCTCTTGGATCTGTTCTTCACAGAAGTTCTTCCACATTAGGTAAGATGGATCATTTTTTAAACTCATCGTAGCAGATGATGAACTAAGTGGAGGTGATACATTCTGGAGAGGAGATGAGAAGAGCTTTTTGGTACCCGAAATTTCTTGAGAACTTTCTCCACGTTCAGAAGATAAGTTTAGAGATTTGAACATCTCTTGGACTTCTTTCAAGTCCTTTTTCGGTAACGATACAGTGGCGGAAATCTTTTTCTTCCCTTTATCCATTGTGAGAAACTCTTGAATGAACATAGAGCATATGGAGTGCTTATTTATATTCAGAATAGATGTGCATACCAAGGTATGACACATTTATATTTGAGAGACTAAGCACGAAATATTATCAAGTTCCAATGATGAGAAAGATTCATGACTAGAGAAGATGGATAAGACATCGCATACTTTGAAAGATAAAGTGAATCAAATAAAGATCTACTTCTCTCGTTTTGTCACTTGTGTTAATATTCGTGTTGAGATAGAGAGAAACAAATAAAGTTTCGGTATAGCTGAATGAAAGATGTTTATTTCAAGCGGGCATAGAGGAACATCAGATAGGAGTACATTTAGGATAATCAGACAGAAGGATTCATTTCTTTCCCCCTTCCCTTAGCATCCTTGCTTGCCATGGCCTTCATTGACATCATTTTTCCCAGCTCTTTGCGAAACCATTTCGCAGTTTTGGCAGTCTTGGAGCCAGATGGAGAGTTTGGTGTGTGGACTTCATCATCAGATTCAGATTCACTGATGTTCGAGCTTAGGTACATGAGATAGTCATGATCAGCCAGAGGATTTTTCCAGTCTTCTGCAGTGGGAAAAGCTCGTTCTCCTTCCATAGGGGGAGGAGCTTCATTGAGATCAGTGATTGGATTTTCTTCGTTTTCAGAGACAAGAGGGGCAACAACCTCTTCCGGCTGATCATCATCAGATGAGAGATCTAAAGGAGCATCCTTGCGGTTTCCTGGATAGAGGTCTCCTTGTTCAGCTCTCAGCTTTCGAGCTGCTTCATTTCCCAGCGTGGTCATGGATCGAGTGAAAGGTCGGTGAGATGCCATGTTCTTTCTGATTGAGGGATATGGAGATTGTGTGATTTTGAAGTGCATAAGTCCATCCCTTTTATAGCGCAAAATGAATGATTCTCCTCATTGAATATAGTGAGCATTGAATTACCATTCAATAGCTTTTGCGTTATTTGTCGAGCCAGTTATTTCGGCTTTGACTAAGTAACGCATAAAAAGGCGCTAAGAATATATTCCACGGAGAATTGTGCATCTTTCGTGAGCCTTAGAAACATAACCAACGATTAGTATTATTCATAATGACTGATTTGAGAACGAAAGGGCCATTAACCATACATAATAAGAAACCGAAAGATGATTTTAGAACATAGATAAATTATGATAAAGAAATTATCATTTCTTCTCCCTTCCTTTCCTTTTCTTGCTGGTTTCGCCCTTAGACTTCTTAGAGACCTTCTTTGTTGCAGATATATCCGGACGAGATTGTAACACCCCGTGTTACGACCCCTAACGCTAACTAAATATTTAATCAGTTACCCTAAAAAGAGAATAAAAAACCCATTAATCAACTAAGAAAGGTCCACCATAGTCATTGGCCCACATCCCTATAACCAACCCCTTAGTCCTATAACGAATAAAATTAGCAAGCCCATAGTATTTAGACCCCAATTAGGACTCTTGGGAATATATATATATATATATATATATATATATATATATATATATATATATATATATATATATATAGGGTCATAGGAGGCACCTAGATCACACACCACAAATAATCTTTCACCACACAAGAAGTTCCAAGAATTCCCTTAGGAGAAATCAAGAAAGGAGAAATCTTAAAGAAAGACCCTTCATAGCCAAGGAAATTAATTAAGGCTAAGAGGTAACCCATGTCTCAACAAAACCTATTTTATTTGCTATAATCTTCTTCTTTGGCTCATTCGCTATGCTTGTGTCTTGATAAATCGTTTATGATGATGATATTATCTTGATGATTGATGAGATGATTTTATGTGTTGATCTTGATAATCTTGATGATCTTGATGTCAAAAAGGGGTTCTTGATATTGATGTGATGATACTTGACAATTCTTGATATTTCTTGATGTTAAAAATAAAATATGATTTTGATGATTCGGGTGGGATTAGAGCCCTAGGTTGGATTGGGAATTGGCGTTATAATGTTCTTGATATATATTTGGATGGGAATTCGCATATTCGGGTGTTGTTTATGTTTAGAAGTTGTAATAGGATGAGTTATACGTGAATCTTGCTTTTGATCCATTAATTAACTACATGGTGTCATTAATTGCGTTTAAAACTGTCTAAGCATGGTTTCGGGTTCCACAAAGGTTCCCGGGACGAATATATGAGTAAAGAGTCAGTGGGGGGTAGGTGGGGGTAGGGGAACCCGCCACCTACCCGCTGCCCGAAAAACACCGCCCGGCAGCGGGCAGCCGCCTGCCCGTCGGCGACCCGCTGCCCGGAACAGTATTCTCCAGAGGGCAGCCGGCGGGTGGCCCTCCACCCACCGGCTACCTGCTGGCCTGTACCCCACCCCGGGTCTTTGGCTTCCCTGTTTGATGTTCCCCGCTCCCCGTGGCGTCCCAACGGACCCCGTTTGTCGTACTTGAGTCTAGTGTGATGTTTCGGGAACCGTTCGTAGGATAAAAGAGTCTTAGGAATTGCATGCTAGTTAAATTGGTAACCCGTTGACCTAGGTGGAAGTTGTATGAACCCCTTAGGACTATTCTTAGTATGTGAATGATCTCACGTAAGCTTATTTATATGTCTCTCCCTTCCCAATGTGCTATTATGTGCTATAATGTGTTATGTGATGCATGATTCCCCAATTTGGTTGCGATCAAATTCGCTATACGGGTAGTTGGATGGGTTGAGAACCATACCAACTATTAACCAGGCCGGTTGCGATCGGTCAGGTATATAAATATTATATAGGGCTGCGGTCCACTGTTTGGCTACTTATGAGCTGCGGTTCATTCTCCTGGCTGCGGTCAGTGATTCACTTCTTGGGCTGCGGTCCACATGGGCCTCGGTGCTATGACCCACCGGACCTGAATGCGCCAGGACGGTGTGTAGGGCCAATAAGCCGAGGAAGGCTGTAGTCCACCGATCCGAGTAATCGGGCGGTGTGTAGGGCTATGGCTGGCTGCGACCCACCGGGTGATGGGACGGCGGTGTGTAGGGCCAGTCTCCGAGGATCTTCGCCCACCGAGTGAGTATAGCTCCACGGTGTGTCGGGCCTTATCCGCTATGGTCCACCGGATGTACCCATCGGCGATGTGTAGGGTCGTAAGTCCCCCCTTGTAAAGGGGATTGCGGTCCACCGACTGGGTGCGTCAGCGGTGTGTCGGATCGTGGTCCGACGTTGAGTTCGTCAGCGGTTCTAAAAGGGTTCGTTGCGATCAACTCCCCTCATACCGCGGTACTGAGGTAGGGTGCTGCGGGGCCGTATTAATTCTATAAGCATTAACCCTCATGTTCGGGGCATGCGATTGATCCCGTGGCGCTATCAACGATTATGTGATATGAATGGTGATTGAATGATGATGTGTTTTGGAATTGGAAAGTGATCTGT